AGCCGTCGTTGTCCAGATCACCCACTGCTAGGCCCGAACTTGAATCAGTCACACCCAGGGGTCCAGCAGCGTCCATGGAAAGGAGCCCTCGTTGCGGTAGACTGTTCCCAGGTTCACAGAGACGGGCCCTGAAATCAGCGGGAGCTTTCCCACTGTCACCAAATCCTGCGTCCCAGAGTTCTCAAGGTCGATGAAGGCGGCCCCCCAGTTGAAGGGGTGGATTGCGACGCCGGCCTCCTCTGCAACATCCGTGTAGGTCCCGTTTCCATTGTTCCGAAACATTGCATGGCGAAGAACTTGGGGGCAGTCCACCTCATCCAGGATCTCACACCCGGCCTGGCCCATGAAAATGTCCAGCAAGCCATCACCGTCCAAGTCTCCGAAGGCAACGTTCATCCAAAGCCCCACGCGCAGCCCTATTCCGAAGCCGGCCACATCGTTCTCGAACTCCACCCTTCCAGACTGAGAGAAGTTGTTGCGAAAGATGTAGATAGGAGTCAAAATAGGGACTGTAGCCCCGCTGTTGTTGGTAAGCTTGTTGCAGGTGGCAACAACAATGTCTTGATCGCCATCATCATCCAAGTCCATGAAGCTGGCAACGCAGGGAAACTCGGGAAACTCTGCGCCCGTGGCTTCTGCAAGTGCAAAGTTACCGGTTCCATCCCCGATGAGGACGGAGCTCGGGTGGTTCGGCAGGTTTGGAAGGAGATCATTGAAGGAGCCGATGTAGGCATCGAGCTTCCCATCGTTGTTGACGTCCGCCAGGGCAACCGAGCCCGGAAACAAGGGACAACTTGCAGTCGCAATGGCTCCAGGCAATTCCGTAAAGGAGCCGGTGCCGTCATTCAGCCAAACCTTGCAGCTGCCCTCGCGCTGGCGGTACAAAGCAGTGACCAGGTCGGTGTCTCCGTCGTTGTCGACGTCGGCGGCCGCAACGCCGCTGCAGCGATGCCCAAAGAGTCCTGCGCTTGACGTCACCTCCTCAAAGGCACCGGAGGAGGTGCCCTTCAGCAGGCGCTGCGTGGACTCCGCCGCCGTGGCGTTCGGACGCATGTCGTCGTGATTGCAAAGGAACTGATCTAGGACACCGTCGCCATCGAAGTCTGCGAGCGCAATCCCCTCCAGTGAGCCGTAGGTCGGCCTCTGGGCCAAAGCAGCTTCCTGCACGCTTTGCAAGCCTGCATCGCCTACGCGTCGCGAGGTCTTGTGCTGCAAGAGTATGGAGTTGTCACATGTCGCCTCTGTCGATAAACAGGGGACAAACCCGGCCAAGAGCCCGACAAGCACCTTACCACGGAAACCAGACATAGACATGGACATGGCCTTGTTTTGCTGGTCTTCTGTCTCGTATCAGCTGGCGCCCTAGGCGTTTTAAACTTGAGCCTATCACCATGCAACGCACATTGTGAGGTGCATGAAATGCCAGCTGTTGACTCCTGGCATACATTTGCCAATTCGTCTTCAGGCTTCTTGACATGTCCCTCTGAATGTGGGTTGGGGCAGAGCTCAAAGGAAGGCGCCTCCTGCTGGATCTTCTTCATCGAGGGCTCTGAAGGCCGAGGCCAGCTGTTGTCGCACATGGCCACGAAGAAGCTGTGAGCCACAACCGCCGCCGCCGCCTGCGTCGCGCACACGTGACGCGGCCTGCCTCGCCATGCAGGGGGAGCCGGCAAAACCCGGTGTCAGGGTGAATGCCGCGATTTATCCAAGACTTGCTTCATCTAGGTCTCTTGGTCCCACCCTGTACACCAGCTTGCCTCCAGCTCCTTCTGGGATGGGCCATCTGCACCGAGTGCTGCGATCCGAACCTGGAACGGTGTCTTGTCACGAGGACCTCCACAAGGAGTAACAATGTGTTGTGTACAGAGGGGGCGGGAGCCAGTTGTTCAATCCAAGTGCAAAGGGGAAGTTTAATGATACTGTTGATGCTGAAAGGATATGCAATAATTAGGCCCCACACTCATACAATTCCACTTTGCATGAGCTTCCATGGATCATGAGCCACAGCTGTAGATTTGTGGGTGACTGAGCCCAGCAAAATGGTAACCCTTGCCAACGATTCCAAGGCTGACCCGGTGCTGGTGGTTCACACTTTGACTTGGGTATGTTGTTTAAATGCCTGTGGAATGATTGTAGCTTTCTGCTAATGGGGCCAATTGGTGGCTTCCTAAGAACAAGACTGGGTTGCCAAAAAACAAAATAAAACCACACCCTTCCGTATAAGCGTTGTCGAGCAAATCTGGCAACTTTCAAAAGTTATGGCATGCTGCATTAGGGGTCTTGCTCACTGTTGACAAGCAGCTGCTGGAAAGTGCGCTACGAGCGTGCAGGTACCTCTTCTCGGTGTCCTGGAGGTACTCCTGATGACAACTGCGCAAGAAGGAATAATGGAAACCATCGAATTCCCAGTCTCCTCTATCTTTTCAGCCCGCTGCTCACTGACAGCTGTGGCATTCTGCTGCATCCTTAAACATGCCCCGGTTGCATGCTGTGCCCAAGC